CCGGACTACACTCGGCAGAAATGACATACCTTTAACCAGAAAATTTTTTATCAGCACATTGGTTTAACCGGACTAGTTTTCGGCAGGAAGTAGGCGGTACTGAAACGACTGCGAAAGATTTAAGACCAGTGATCACGTGTCTAAACACAATGCTCTCTTAAATTTAAGTCAAATATCACAGTCCGTTTTAACGAGTTTTTGGGGACGTCGGTTTAACCGAAAAAATCGTTATCGGGACTGGACTCAGTCCCGAGGAGTCCGGATAAGAGGGAGTCTACTGTACCCCCAAGAGACCTGACTAGTAGCTGTAAAAAGATATAATGGAAATAAACCTAACTTATTGATAAAACGGGACCGTATGAACATGTAAAATACTACAGAAATAACACTGTATTGTTGAATCATGTTAACAACTCAGTTGCATTGATAATGGAAGAACTCAGATGTATCCAATGCCTTATTTAGTAATGCTAAAAAAAACATACATTACATAGAATAGGCCTATTCTGCATTTTCTGAATTCCTACAGTAGAACCCCGGCTAACCAAAATAAAGGAGGGGGGAGAGCCGTTTCGGATAACCAGTATTTCGGTTAACTCGTCATATGCTAAATATAGTCTAATAAAATTAATTAATCTGTATTACCATGGTGTATAGGAAAAATGAATTAAAAATAGGGCCTAATTACTTTATAGGCTAATACAGTGTTTTATTTCAGCTACAAAAATGTTACAATGGTTTAGAAAATACTTTAAACTAAAACACTGAAGTTATAAAGCGTATTTTATCCCTGTACTATTTTATGAAACTGTTTCGGTTAACCCGGGTTTCGGTTAACCGGGGTTCTGCTGTAAATATAATTGACCTTATTACAGCCAATCAACCAAAAGAATGTCAATTGAAGCAAACTAAATTGGGACTGACAGATAATGCAGGATAGGAGTAGTACTTGAGTAAAATGAATGCCTCAAATTTGTAATTAATGTGGTGACAATGGTGGTACCATGTAGGCTACATTATCAATTACGAATATAGAAATGGACAACTTTATGCGACAATGGATAAGTCGGGAAATATTAGAAGAAAATACTAAAAAACAAGGTCAGCTTTGAATTTTTTTAAAAAATATTTATAGGCCTAAAGAGTTTTTATTAGGCTATATCAAACTGTTATTAACAGCGTGAGTATTATCATTATAGTTACATTTAAGGTTTTGGTTGAGTCTTTAGAACCCATAGAAAATTATACCAATACTTGACAACTGCTCGATTTCGAGCAACAGGTACATTAGTATGCTATATTCCCATCCCGTATAACATTGGATATGTTCTTAGAAAATGTGGACTGTCTGAGAAGAATGCAGACTATAAATTGTTTGCCTTCAGAACTAACTGAGATAAGGGGAAAGGAAAGTTTGAAACACAATGAGGGGTGTAAATCTTAGGCTTTTAGTACCTTCATTAGGTATACCGAATGAAGTTAGTTTGTATTAGGTATAGGCCTACTGATGTTCAACAAGCTTTGAAGCACTTAAAAGGGTATGTAAAAAATCCCACTATGTGACTTCCAAAAAACACTCAGCCAATTTTCAGAAAGACAACTTAATTTGTACAAAATAGAAAAATGTATTTTTTAAGATTCTCAAAAATACCAGTTTATTGATTGATGAAACAAAATGGTAATTTGGGAGCCAGGTTGTTTGTTGGCCTTGCCTTCAAAGTTAAAAAGTCACACTTTTTACACAGGGATATTAATTAATGAAGCTTTTTGACTAACAGGGCAAAGGTGTCAGTAACAAAACCATGATTTTGCCCTATCCACAAATAAAAGTGTCCCAGTTAGTGGTGTTTAAAGAGCACCCCACTCAAAGACCAAAAAAGGTATAGACCTACCTAACTTATCTTACTCATCACCAAGTGCAATCACAAAAAAAATTAAGTAATCAAACTAATTTAGAACTACTTAATTTGCACTAGGAAAGAAATGTTAACATGTAAAAAAAGGGTTGGAAAAAGTGTATATAATATCTTAATGATAATGATATAAGTGTATGTTTAGTAAGTTATACGTTTTAGCATAAGATTTTAGAATACACTGACTCCGACTTTCCACCAGGAACCAACTGTAAAGCATTGCAGATGTGTCAGCATTTATTTTGCATTTTTTAAATGTATGTTACAAGTTATTCTAAAATCAACATTTAATGTTAGAAACTGAAATATAAATCTACATGACCCGAAATGTAGCTACATATATAGTTAAACAAATTCAAAAAATTTAGAATAAATTGTAGCAGAACAATTCTATTGTAAGAAACTTTCCTAAAAAAAACTAGTAGAAACAAGTAGGGACCAGATGTGGCCTACAATACAAATATTACATTAAAGGCATTGTAAGTAATCATTAATTTTAAGTAAAATATTTAAACGTTTTACAAAACTTACAGCCATTTTGGGCGCACTTGATAACACTCAGTGGAATATATGTTTAACAATGGATTCACAAATGAAAACTGAAAACGGATATCTCGCGGTGTTGGTGGAACTAAGTGTTATTTATTATCTGATTGGATTGTAGAGAAATATCAGTAGGCTACTGATAATTTTTTAGTGGCAGGGATAGTTAACTTTAAAAGTTCATCGTTTGTTCATGTGGAAGCTTAGTTTTAACATTGATGATTCAGACTCAAACGCCTGTACAGTTTATATTTGACAAAATTGGTGATGGAATAAATTTTAAAGGTAGGCCTATAGCCTACTTAACAATAGAATCAGACAGGACATAAATGATTAAGAATCAGTTTTTATAAAACCTTAAATAATACTAACAATCTAGAATAAGAGTGTAAAAATTTTGGATTCATTGTGATATCACAGGTTTTTCTGGGCCTATCAAATAGAATAAACTCACTACAGTAAAACTTAGTGAGTGTATATGCTTAGTCTATTTTAATTATGTAATATTAAACATTAAAACTAAACTTGTAATACTTTCAACTCACAAAATTATTGTTTAAATGAGCTTAAAATATTCTAAATTTTAATGACAAGTAACAATGAAATCGAATCTTTTAATTTTTACTTGCATGATCTAATAATAAGCTTAGATTGAAATTGAAAGGTAAATTTAACATTTAAAATTTAGCTAAGATATTTAGTAAAAGGTATTTTATAGTTTTGCGTCACTGAAATTAAACCCCAAATAACTAGGCTAAAACATTATAAAACTGCACATAGCCTAGCACATGTTACAGGAATTAATGTTTTTGTGGTGTGTCTGATGATGCCAGCATAAGTTAGGCCTAGCTGGCGAAAGGCCTCATGAAAAGAAATAGGCCTAAAAAAATATTGGAGTGGTTTTTATTTTAAATTTGAATTATTTATCGTGTTTAAGCCACTATTTTAAAAATAGTTCGTGGTGTAGTGGATAGAGTACCGGTACTCAGCTGAAGTTCAAGTGGTATCCAGATCGAATCCCATCGGGGACTCTAACTTGTTGCCAAAGATTTTGCTTAGAATGAAATTAAATGAAATGAAAAATGTCTTTATTTAAGAGGCGAAGTTAGGACTAGCAAGTCCTCTAGCTACCACTTAACCTCTAAAACATAGCCTAAATATAACTACCTATCCACTTTATAAATAAAATTAAATAATCTTAAGTACCATAGGCTATTATAAACATGTTGAAATTAAATTTACTAACCCAAAAAGTCCATTCACACAAGCCGCCAACAACCCGCCACACCAGCGCCAGAGACTCATTCACGACTGCTGCTCAAATCACCGATTTTATCTCTGCCCCAAACCCTGCACGGTTCTCGATAGAATGCGATTTCTTTTAACTGTACATCATTTGTTAGAATTCGAGGCATTAACTTAAGTTATTTAATAATTTTATTTTATGAACAGAATTTAATCTTCATTCGATTTATATTATAGGCCAGTTTGGTTAGTTAGGTTAAGGTACGGTACTTAGGTTATGACAAAAACTGCCGGTCGCCTAATCCACGTCCTGTTAACTTACCAGACGGGTATCCTCTGCCTAACCTAAAAGCAGAGGATTCACGTCCAGTGGATTAGGTCTCCAGCATTTACTGTCATAACTTAACTTAAGCTGATAATAAAAATCGAATGAAGGTTAAGTTATATTCTGTTCATAAAATAAAATTTAACACCTCAAAATCTAACAAAAGATGTACCGGTAACTTACAGTTAACTTAAGAAGAAATGGTATTCTAAGCAATATTTGACAAAATGTTAGTGTCACCGATGAGATTCGACCCAACTTAGATACCTCGCTTGTACATTAAGTAGCTGAGTAAGCTCTATCCACTACACCACGAACACCGACGGCTTATCGTATCGTTGTGGTAAACTAAGGTAAATGGTGTTCCAGGCCCCCAGAACCCGGTGACGTCACCGCCGGACGCCTAACTTAAACTTAATCCACGTTCGGTTACCGGACGCATATCCTCAGCGTAGCCTAACCTAAAACTAATATACAATTCAGTCATGGAAAACATCAATAAGTTAGGCCTACTTGGCTAAAATATCTCGATGTTCTACAAAAACATTGGTGCTCTAAGTACCATCGATGTAAAAAACATCGATGTTTAAAAACCATAGACTAGGCCTATCGATGCACATCCCTAATTAACTTAGGGCTGCACCATAGTTTCGGACCTCTATTTTTACTCACATAACTTACTGCAGTTTGGTTAAGGTTAGGTTTAATTAGTTTAGAACAGTTTCATTTTTAAATAAGCTGGTAGTTAATGTATAATAGTAAGGTAGGACGTAAACTAAAGTGCAACCTAACTTAGTATCAAAAAAAGGCCTAACTTAGTCCTGGCTATTTGTAGGCTAGGCATTTGATGAATTAACAGGCCATGTAAAAAAAAAACTTGTTAAGTTAAGTTACGGAACTTAAAGTCATAAAAACAAGTAGGCCTAAGTTATAACTTAGCTTAGTATAAATTGCCAAACGTTAAAATCACTTACCGTAGCGGTCTGTTTGGCTGTGGCAGCAATAACCACGGGGGTTGCCGATGCCATTGTGATGGATAAACTTGATACCGAGTTGACACTGGAAAGGCCTAGTCCTAGAGAAAAACAGGAAGGCTACTTTCGAAACAAACTTTTATGTTATCCCACTAAATTCAAAAGACCTAAATTAAGTTACTAGTTTCCGATAACTTGATGATATTCTCGACTCGAGTATTTTGCTTCACGGCAAAAAGTCAAAACGAATTACGTCACTTGCACATGCTCACTACTTCTACAAATTACAAAAAAACTATGACAATCTGAGAATCATGTGTTTGTTTTTTTCGTTGACCTTTTTGTAAAATTGTTTCAAATTAGACAGTGTTGCCACAACAGTTGTCACGCAGAATATCCTTTTTACTGTAAGTTACATCAACAAACGTAACATGGACGTACAACCATTTTTATGTATGATCAATAAAAACTAAATAAGCAGGGTTTTGAGAAGAGTAAAATCCCCCACCCATGAGGTAAAATATGCGTCTATATGCATATAGCTTGGTATTAAATTATAAAACGAAACCCCAATAATTTCTTGGTAGCCGGATGGTGTATAATTCAAGTTACGTTAACAGATTAAGTTATTTTATGTTCTACATATTTCGAGCTATAATAGCAAATCTTCAGCTCACACTCACAACAATAAATACCATTGATAGATTTTTTCGAATACTGCATCATCAATCTATCATGCTTTCATACAATAAGTCACAGCCACCTTTAACGAAATTAACATTGGTCTTACGGCGGGTAAATCCAAGATATCCGTTAGCTTCCAAGGACTCCCTTGGCAAACAATTTAAACTACAAAAAACATTTCTATTCTCACAGTATACTAGACATTTAAATTAAAATCACTTGGTGTTTGAAAACATATTTTTGGATGATAAATAACGCTTCAGCGGCTGTTTGAAATTATCCAAGATAATTGATCGCCTCCAGGGACTTCAGCATTATCGGACAATGGGAACGGGGGTTTATGGGGTAAAAATGGGGCGTTTTCCCATTTTTGACCCTAAAAATATAACATTTTGCAATTTCTGTCCAAACCATTTCGCAGAGATTAAACAATTAATTTTGTATATTAAAGCCTTGTCATACGCTTGATCGTTAAATTGAAAATATAAAAAAAACCGTAAATTTAGAATCCCCAAGTTATTATTATTTAGAATAAGAGTAAATTGCTGTAGTTTGTTTATGACACTTTCTTTTAACAAATTTGGAAAGTTTATTAATTTTATACTATATACTATTAAAGTTGAACTAAAAGACTTTTCCCTTTAGCAGTAAACCTAAGTACTCACACTCTACTTATGTTATTTAAAAAGGCCTAGGGAATAAATATAATATGTTAAAGGTGGAAATTATGTTTTTTGTACCTAGCGACTCGACAAACTTTACTCAGGCCAACCTTCTGAAATCCAGAGACTCTGGCTAAAGCCCGGATTGCCTCAAGATGTTTTATTATAACCCTTTTTTTTAAATTTAGTTTCATTGGTGGCCATCAGCGCCTTTACAGTCCAACCCGTAAAAACAGTGAAAAAGTGCCTGAGGGGCTAGCCATAGCTGACCGCCACCTATGTGAATGTAATTAATAATGCTAATTTGTTTCTTAAATTATAGGTAACTAACGTGTATAGCAATGTAATGCTGATTGGTTAATAAATTGTTATAAAAAAAAACTTTACCTATAAGTAATATGATGTTTTCCATAACAGCTGGCACAACACAACGCAATCGACAACTGGTTCAGATAAAGTAATAAAATCTCCTGCTTTTGTCCACTCTACACTCAAACCGTGCGAAAGAAACCGGTTCGGCTGTCCTAATCTACACTGGATGGCCAGTCGGATTTACGGCAAGGAATGTGCTAATCATTTATTGCTTGCTTTCTCTTAGGAAAGACCCCCCCCCCATAACTGAACTACAGTACCTCTAATCTGTAACTGAATAAGGTTTATCTGCATTCATTGCTGGAATGGAATGGTCTATTAAGTATTTTATACAATACTATATCAACACTGTGAGGGCCATTTCCCCAAATAATACATCAACCCGTTAAGTATTTATATTGAAAAAGGTGAAGAAATAACTAATAATACTATTTATTTACTGTAAGTACTGTATATACCTCCGAATAAATTATTACAATATCTATATAATTTAACAATGATACTTTATGAACTTATGTACCTATCCATTTTAAAATATATTCTTTAGTTATTAATACATCGTTATAACATTTACAGTGTGTGCTAATTTATTGTTAACACTTATCGATCCATTCCAAAATTTAGGTGGTTTGAGAGGAAGTTCCCCCCTTTTTTTCTATGTACCTTGACAGTGTTTTTATGACAGTGTATTTTATGTATTTGTTGCATAAAAACATAGAAAATAATCAACAGTTTAAGGGTTGTATGATTACAAATGTATTTTTAGTTACTATCTTGAAACCAAAATTTTAATATCCAGTTCTGAATCAAAGAAAACAAGTCATTAGAACATGAGCATTTTGTATTTAAATTAACCAATTATATGCAAGCGGTGTGTTATTTTGATGTTATTTTTTCCAATAAATTTGGCTACATGACCAAACGCAGAGCTGATGAAACCTAAACTTTGGTCTGAGGCCCGTATTACACTGTAAAACATTTTATAAAACATATTTTATAAAAGTTATTTGACAAAGATCTTTGATAGTGTAATAGGACATATTTTATAAAGTATTTCTTTTATAAAATTTAATAAGGTTACATTCAAAGTATACAGTGTAGAGTAATTTTAAAAACTCCACGATTCTCTTCAAATTTGGTATAAAAATAAAGATTAAAATATATCCATTAATACCATCAGATTTTTATATTTTTTTCAAGAAAAAAATATTGCTCAGAGATAGTGGAGCCAGTAGTATGACTCACCGGCCAGGTCACCGACTGCCCGAGCAGCTCCAAGCACGCACAATAGACTCAAATGTTAAAGCTATTAGTGCGCTTGACTGGTTCCCCCTGGTTCTGCCTCACTTTGGGGTGAAGTTTACTATACCTAAAAATCCTTTGCCTGCTTTGGTGGGCGTAGCCAAAGGGTCCCAGGCCGACCCCTCATTAATTCTGGGACTCTCTGGCTGCAGTCGCCTGGAGAGGATTAGGTTCGGGTTTGACAAATGTTGACAAGGGGTAGCGTATTTCTATCTTTCACAATCAACTTAGTAAATTTAGTCACTATTTAACCAAGTAAAGTGAGTGATGAAAGCATTGTCACTTAAAATTTGAACAAGTTCCATATCTGTTGTTTGCACTCATTATGTTCTCATTTCCTCCAATTTGGCCTTGCCGAATCTAATAAAATTATTTTCAACTCAGAAAAATGAACCAAAAAGGCCCAATTCGTAGGGGCGCTTTTTGAGAGATTTTCAAATGCATACATTGGTAGTGTGATACATCTATTTAAAGGTCTAATCACCCCAATAATTTTGGCGCTGATAAAAATTAATTGCCTTTAACAGTATTTACAGGGTGGGCCAAAACGTTTAAAAAGGACTTTAAAGTTAAGTACCGTTTAACTAACTACTGAACGAAACAGCGCCAAATTTATTTTCAAGCATATTCTTTAGCTACTCTTTAAGACAACTTGTAGTAAGGGGATTTTTGTGTTAATAAAAAATATCTCAAACTTTAAGATTAAAAAGAGGTTGAACACTCAACATTCTCAAAATACCAAGGTATAACAAACATTGAAAAATATCTGAATGATTTATCTTGATTATTTTGGACGATAGACTGGATATTTGAAAGCAGAAATAATCAACCTGGACGTCTGTCTGTAGTCTAGAAGGCCCTGGCGGCGCCTTTCCCACCGGCGACGTCCGCCAAAAGGTCATCGTCATTAGGATTGGGTTAAATTATTTTGTCATTTGTTGTGATTGTGTGGGCCATAATGACCTTCGTGTCACGGCGGCTACCGGACTGCACCATCGATATCGTGACCTTCGCCGGCTCCACATCGCCGTCCGGTAGTTATAGTTCAAGGATCGACGTTTTGAAATTAGTTGGTAATTGAGTGATCTTTGTGTTTCGGTGTTCGAAAGTAGTGGGACTGGGACATGATAAAAGATGGAACCCTTTTCAAAATGTTGCAGCCTGGATGTGTAAAGTTGTACATTTATTCAAATGTTCGTATTAAATAAATATTTTTGAATTAATGTATAATTTGATAGCTTATGACAATTTCCAAGTTACCACGACTTCAGTTCAAGTCTGATAGAGCTCACATATTTGAACAATCTTTAGCACATAATATGGTTGATTCGACTAGGTCCGCTTGATGAAATCGAAATTACCACGAATCAAACATAAATAAGTCTTAACCTCAGTTTTGATTTTTTATTTCTATTTGTACTTTATATTTAATTCCAAAGCCATCTTTTAAGTTTTTGAACGGGAATGACCAACATGTTTTTTTTTTATTTTACTTAAATTATGAACCAAAAAATGATTCAACAATAAACAATAAACTCGATAGCCTGATTGTTAATTCAGAAAAATGTCATAAATAGCTAGTATGTACTGGGAAAGATGATGGAAATACCTAGGGTATTGTAGAATGTTGTTTGGTCCGTTTAACAAAGTATTAGACCTATTGTTGAATTCAAGCAAATTCAGATTCAGGTTAGTACTTGGAAAGGTAAAGGCAACTATGGTAAAGCGGATATGAGTGAACATAGTCCAGTAAAATAAGACATTGTGGTATGCAAAAGGAACTGCCACAAACGATTCCCTCACTCCGCATTGCCTGCCTTTACTACTTCCTTCTCCACTTCCAACGTCATGGACCTGTTTCCCTCCCTTCTCATAGCATTTAAGTATTGCAGATAGATTAATCTAACTGCGACAAACGAGAGAGAGAGAGAGAGAGAGAGAGAGAGAAATTCTTTATTTATACACATTATTTTGCAGCAAATACATTAAGAAATAAAAATATCACATGGGTCACAATGACCTGTGCGTGATAGAGTCCTTACTGGCTGCTTCATCAAAATAAAAGTTCTTCACACTTCACTACACATAAAAAAAAGAATAAAAAAAAACAATTACTTGGTAAAATAAGCATACAATTTAATTTAATATACAATTATAATTATAACAACCTAATAACCATACACAATGTGCAACTCAATAACTTTTTTTTTTCAATTCCCAATTTTACTGAGGCGTAGATTCCGTCAAGTAAAGAGT